TGTTTATAGTTTTATTTCTTTTTAGACCTATTTTTTTATTTTCAACAACAGGTTCTGCTGTGGCAAGTGGAAACGTTGGCCTGTTGGATCAGTTGGCAGCTTTGAAGTGGGTGCAGCAGAACATCGCTAGCTTTGGAGGAGATCCAAGACGGGTTTCCTTAGGAGCCGACCGCGCTGGGGCAGACATTACCAGCATTCACCTGATCACAGAGGCAGCGGATATGGACCTCTTCAGGAGCGTGTTGTTGATGGTAAGTCCCATTCCTGCCCCTTTGACTTCATTGTGAAAGGATGTTGTTACAGACAGCAGGATGTTGCAGTGTGTGGGTGCTGGTTTTATTTCATCCATACCTTGGCAGCACTAATAGGGCTGTTATTGCTATAGTTATTTTTCATCTCACCTGTGACTGCTATCTCCAGGAGCTGGGTGCTTCACAAGGATGTACAAGAGATGCACTTTGTTGATTGATTTAGTCATAGTAAGAATCTGGTTTTCGTCACTGTGGTTTTTTGTGTGTTATATAAATAGTCTTGTTTCATAACTTATAGGTACAACAGGTTAGTTTCCATTCCATAAATACGGTTGTTGATCAGCAGTTTTTAGACTCTAAAACTGATGAGCCAAACATCCGCATGTTTAAAGTATCCAATCTTTTTATCTGATCTCATGATAGATTTCATTTAAAAGAAAAAACAAGTTTCAGAGAGAGTGTAGAAAATCATTTACGCACGGGCTTGTTTGCTGGCAGCTTGGACCGTTTTCTGTCACCCCAAGTGATCCGTATTTTTACAGGACTTCCCATGTAGAATCTAAGGACTTTGAGGTCAGCTTCGTCAGACTCAGTACTACCATTGATCTTTACAGCCTCAGATGAGAGCATCGTGCTTTAAAATGAGGCTTAGTCTTCAGTGGAAGTTTATAAATCTAGCAGAAATGGTACTTGGACAAAATGCTCTCTCTGCTAGCAGTGTTCACTTGGAAACATGAGCAGAGGAACAGAATTTTTGGTCCAGGAAACCTAGGGCCCAATTAAATAAAATCTTGCCTTGAAATAATGACATTCCTATTTACTACTTGATTTTTTTCAGTGTGTCCTTGCTCCAGGAAAAATAATTTATCTTTTTATCCTCATGTCTCAATAAGGTTATTTTAATTGCATCACTCTAGTTGGGAAGGCAAGGGAAGTTGTTGAAAATTGCCACTCAGTAGTTGTTTTTATGGGTCATTCTCAGACAATTGCTAGTTCCTAGATTTTTACTCACCTCTTGGCATAGCAGTTGATTAGCTAGTAGACCCAGAGTCCTTTTCTCTCAGAGTACATTTCCATCCTACTCTTCCTCTGAAGTCATAAACCCTTTACTGAAATGTCTTAGGATGTGGCCCTGTGCAAGCTGTAGCAGGATACAGTGCAATTTACTGGTTGAGCAACTGATGAAAGGGAAATGCAAGGACCTCTTTGCTTATCTTTATTGTTGGAGTGTAGGTCCACATTACATCTTTTCTTTTATAAAATAAGGTTTGAACTCCTCCTTTCTCCTACAGCAGGACATCGAATAATGGAAAACAGTGGCAAGTGCAATGAGCAGGCAGGTGCATCAATTCTTCCCACTAATCTAGTGTTTGTAACAAGAATTTTCTTCCTGGGGACTGTGCAGACCACTGTCTTGGCAAAAGCAGGGTCTCCACTTATTTCCAAGTAATGTTAAGTATATATGCTTACAGTGTCATGGTGGATTTAGTTTTCTTGTGAAATGCACTGATAAAATAAAAAGTAAGTAGTAATAGCAGTGACTTGATAATATAAAATCTCTCTTTTTTTTTTTTTTTTTTTTTTTGTAACGTAGTGATGCAGAATGCAACTGTTGCTTTACTCAGATTTCTCAGCTAGACCTCCTGTAAAGGGATGTGTCTTGTTTTTGTTGCAAGAGACCAAAATCATTGTGTACTTTTAATTTGACTGTAAAAAAGGAAGGTGCTCACAGACAAAGAATCTTGAAACTGAGAATATATACTAGATATAACTTTCCTGAGGGAAAATCCCATGAAGCAATACAGCTTTTCTGCAAAAGTTAGTTTTGCGCCTCTTGTTTGGGTCTTCGTCATGCAGAAAAAAATGATACTGTTTCTTAGCATGCAAAGAGGTGTGATGTACAAAACTTTCTCTACAGTAAGACGTGCACCTGAAATAGCAAAATGCCTTTGAGTTTCCCATGTCTGCCCTGTAATAGATTTTGTTTAGAACATATCTGAAAACAGATTGTACAAAACCAATGCAAAGCAGTTATGGGGACTTTCTATAATTTATTTCATCTTTCATTAGGAAAAAAGTCTCAGTGATTACGGTCTTGTTTTAAATAATTTAAGAGCATTAACACAGTGTTTGACTTCATCTTTTGATTAATTCATTTATTTACCACTGCAATTTTGATGTAGAAGAGTAGATCAATGGTATGGCTTGCTTCCGTCTCTTGCAGGAGGCCGTGGAGTGCAGATATGCTAGGTGTCCCCTCCAGGTGTTCCCTGGTGGGTGTCAGGAGGAGAACTCCCAGGCTTCCCTCACCCATTGCAAGGGAAGACCACAGGTCCCTCCTGTCCGTGGAACCAGGTGACACAACGGCAGAAAGAGCAGATTTATTGCCCTACTGAAAACTACTGCGATCAGGTGCAAGGCTGTCTGACATGGACCCTAAACACCTTCGATCTTATGATTATCTACTCTTCATATCCCCTAGCCTAGAGGAGAGAAGGTTCAGGGGGAATCTCATCAGCATTTATAAATGGAAGCCGGAAGGAGCCGGAAGGAGCCAGGCTCTTTTCAGTGGTGCCCAGTGACAGGACCAGAGGCAATGGGCACAAACTGACACACAGGAGGTTCCCTCTGAACATCAGAAAACACTTTTTTACTATGAGGGTGACTGAGCACTGGCACAAGTTGCCCAGGGAGACTGTGGAGTCTCCATCCCTGGAGATATTCAAAAGCCATCTGGACATGGTCCTGGGCAACTGGCTCTAGATGGCCCTGCCTGAACAGGGGGGGTTGGAGCAGGTGACCTCCAGTGATCCCTCCCAACCTGAACCTGTCATCATCAAAACCTGTCATCACCAGAACATGTCTTAGCCCCTTCCCACAGAGCATATTCCAAGTGCTGCCCAGTTACATGGGCTCTTGGATTCTTTTGTCGCATTCCATCAAAGATACCTTCTGGCAGTATCATTGCAAAACTGGGTGTTTGTACTAGTTTCACTCTAGGTTTTCCATTTTCTAAAAGCAATACGAAGTAACTATTGGATATTATTTTAATGAATAAATACAAGTCATGACTTTGAGAAATCTGTAATGCTCCCCATATACATTTCACTGGATAAAATGCAGTCACCATAACATATTAACAATCAGTAACAGTAATGAGATTATACAGATGCCTAGAGTTCCTGAGTTCATTTTGCTTTGTGGTGTTCAATGTTTACCAGCCAAATTACATTCATCGTTTAAGTTCTGAAATATGTTTAAATACTCTGTGAACTATTTTGATCTCTGAATCTCTCTTGCTAGTGCAAATGATCTATTACAAGATCTAAAGAGCACACAGATTTGTGGTAAGAGGTATTTACAGAGAAAATACATATATGTGTGTATATATATACATATATGTATTAAAAATCCAATTCCTTATCTCTCCAAACCTTCATTACTCAAATCTGTGCAAAAAGGTATGACAGAACATCAGATTGAAAATATCTTGGCTCGAGAACATGGATTGCAGCATATTACACTCCCAGATGTGAGTGATTTCTTGATTTAGAAAGCAGTCACAAGTCAGGTTCAAAGGACCGTGCTAGCTGCTCCTTTATAACTTAGCAAAGGGTACACATATAGAGAAAAATTCTCTAATTTGTGAAATTTCAGATAATCCAGTTACAAATCTTTAAGCAATTTGATGAAAGGTGTCATTACTATTTGTCATCACTCTCTTCAGACAAGAAATTCAGAAAACTCTTTAACATCCACTGTTGCTGATTTGCTCTCTTAGTTTAATTATTAAAAAGCTGCTATTAATATAAATATTATACATAAATATGGGGGTGCCTTCGGGAGATGAGGTTAAAATCTGGTCCTCTACACATAGAAGGTCACACCTTTGCAAGCCTACCTTTGTGGTTAGGCATGATATACCACAATTTACCTTTCACCTAAACTCTCCTTTTTTCTTTGTTGTATATCTGCTAGATTATGAGCAGCTGAGTTATGCTTTTGGATATGCCTGTACTCCCAGCTCAGGGCTAAGCAGGAACTGCTTTTCTCTGTGAGTTAAACCTATTCTTAATTTTTTGACCTCTTTGTGACACTGTAAGACATTACCAGCAGTTGAATTAAATGCCACTTGGAAAGTCAATGATTTTAATTTTTTCTCCTAAAAGGTAAAAATGACAGAAGTATGGAGTCAATATAAGCAGGTGTTTCTTGGATGCCAGATGTTAGATATTTTCTTGGGGCTTTTAACAACTTTCTGACTTGCTGTCAATGACAATGAATGAGTCTATATGGAGAAGAAAAAGGCTCCTTTTCTCGTTGTAGGTAGGTTCTGTAAAGACGGTTTTCAGCCTTGTGGAGGATACCAGAGTAAGAATTAATTTAAGTTGTTGAGCTGAAGTTAGTCCTTCCCTATGCAATCAGCTTTGTACAATGGTGAGCATCACCCTTGCTGAAGAGTCATCTGCCTCACTTGGCCCTTGACTTAGAGTCTGTCTCAGTTTATCCTGCTTGTGAGCAGGTTCTAATTTCAGGTGCACTGGGGAGGTTCCCAGCATATGCTGTAGCTGAAATAGCACCCTTAAGAAGGTCTCTGGTTAACATTCAGAAGAGAAAATGCAGAAGCATTGCCAGCATTTGATCATCAGCTGGTGTGCTTGTATCTCTCAGCTGTTGAAGGACTGCAGGACCACAGGTTGCTCTGCATTTCTCTTCTAACACCTCATTTTTGTTTTGTTTTGGTTTTTCCCCTGGTTGTCTTACATTTAGTCTTCATAGTATGTCGGTGGCAACTGAAGGGTACTCTTTCGTTTGCTCCCTGTGTATATAAGAGATTGGGCTTTCTTCTTTCTGGCACTTGCAAAAGAAGTGTTGTCATCCCCTGTTAAGGAGAGGTAGGAAGCAATACTTTCCCTCAGGCCATAGCTGAGACAAGAATCATCCATTGCTGCCAGAGTGCTTTCAGCATCTTCAGTCACCTCCAGCCTTTAAAAGAACAAAATTTTGTTACCATTTTGGCTACTTCAACTGAACCTATTAGTATAATATTAACAGTTGTTAAACTAAATGATGTTAATTTTATTGTATAAAAAAAATTAAAAAAAAATCCTTGCTCATAAATCACCAAACATTTCTGTCACTTAGCGATTTTCCAAAACAATCAGTACAACAGTGCTATCTAAATATTTTTTGGCATCTGAAAAGGAGATAACATCTATATACTTTCTCTCTTTCTTCTTAATCTGTAGGAAAAATGGCCTCAATACTGCACAAAATTTTCTTCCATTTCTAAGCAAATGAATATGCTTTGTGAAGGAAGGATAGCTGAGGGAAATTTACACTTAAAAACTAAGAGATGCTTTTGTTCCTGAAGGTGGTTGTTTCACCAGCTTCTGAAACCTGACCTACTTTCTCTAGTTGCAGTTAAGATATTAGAAATCTCATGAACTTCAAGTTGGGATGTCTGTTGAGAGACACAACAGGAAAGATCTATGCTGGGTTAATGCGTTCATTGCATTTGTGCTGGTTCATGGACGGCCGTCATGTGAAGAAGGGGGAGCCATTTCTGACTGTTGGGGCTCATCTGTAAGCCATTGCACGTTAGTGTGCCACCAGTGGTGGATCTGACTAGGTTCTATGGCCTGGCTCTTACTCCTGTCCCCTTGGTGGAGAGGACTCATGAGTTCCAGAGGACTGCATATGTGTCCACGCTCTTAGCCAGATAGAAGAAATTATTTGATGCTAACTGTACTTCCTTTCAAAGTTAGACCATGATTATCAGAGCTGGACATCCAGTATTCATGGCTTAACCTGCTGTCAGCAGCTTTGAAGATTGTCTAAGCTTTAAAACTGGTCTCAGGAGAAGGAAATGGCTGCTTCTTCTGCAAGTATATACAAGCCTGGAAAAAACCCTTGCTGTTTCTGGCAGCCTGTGTTGTATGTGGTACCTGTGAATATTTCTCCAGTTGAAGTTTTTATTCCGCATCACCACCGGAGGTACTTGATTCATTACGCTGTTGTTGTTAGTGCACTGGGTAAGGCAAGGTGTTGTAAGGACACAGCAGAGACCATCCGCAACTTCTGAATAGGGAAATGAATACACAGAAAGTTAATCCTTGCTTACTATTATCTTCACTGTTTTCCTTCCCTGGTGCATGCTCAGGTAAACACTCTTGGACGCAGTAGTGGTAGTAGTCAATAAATTGTGTGTTCTCAGCAAGGACACTGTAACACAGGCTTAACTTTTTCTTTTCCTCAAACCTTTGCCTTTTTATCTGGGGTATATTTCCCACAGTACAAGTGAGGAACTGAGACACAGAATGATAAAGTGACTTGCCGAAAGTCAAGAAGGAAGTTTATGACAGAGCAGGGACTTAAACCCAAGTTTCCTGAGTCCTCTCTGAGTTCTGCTTTTGCGTCCTATCATCTCAGCCATGCAAACAGAGTGCAAAATAGCTGCAAGATACAACCACTCAGATCGGATTCTATGTGCACGTATTCTGCTGTGGAACATGGCTATGAAATGAATCAAGGTTCACATGTTCATGCTGCATTTGGGTTACTTTCAGCTGTGTTTCTTCTCTCCATCCTCTTCTCCTTGCCCCACTAGGAATGTTGCATCATGGCTGAATGCTAGTGTTTTACACCTCTCAGCCTTATTTCAGGGTGAGATTCTGTATCATCTCATGGTGGGGGAAGGAGGACAGCTAAATTTCACTACGTCTCCTCTTACATCTATAACTCAAGCAAAAATGTTAGTTGTTATAGGTTTTGGGTTCCCCTCTGCCCCTAATTTTAGGCTTTGATTGTTTGCTTCTTTCTAAATGGAGAAAAGCGTCAGCTAACTAAAATGTGAAAAAAAACCCAACCCTGTTTATTTTTAATTTATATTAATTTATATTAAATTCTCTCTCCTCTGTTTATACCATTGGACTTGAAAGGGGTTTTTTTGCATGTTTTGAATGTGAATACAGCTTTTCTCCCAGGTTTATCAGAGTACTTTTTGGCCAACACACTTTTTCATTTGCCTATGAAATATGCAGATATGGTAGCTTTACACTTTTGAAATTACAGAGTACCCATTACTAATTAAAGCACAGGACATATTGTTCTCTTGTAACTTTTGTGCAATTAACCTATTGCAATCTTCCTTCCTCGTTTTAAAATGTTCTCATTGTAATACATGTTAACTGCAGCCACTTAATTATGTTGTTTGTCAAGTTATCTCTCTGACACAGGTTAAATTGCCATAAATCTGGAAAACTATCATTAAAACAGGTGTCATCCACTGGACTGATATTAGGAAAACTGACAGCTGAATCTGGATTTGAACTAACAGCTTGAGCCCCTTGAGATAACTTCTCCTGATAAAATCCAGCCATACTCTTCTAAAGTAATAGGGAAGAAACCAACAACATTTCTGAGAATTTTCTGCTGCAGATAAGGTTATGTGAGGTAGTAGTTCCTAGGGAAAATGTGAGTGCAGAACCTGGTCTTGTACGTCCTGATGCTATCTGTCTGTCTGTATGGTAAATACATGGCAGACATGTCCACGCTGGTAAACAAAGTGAGCCAGGAGTTGAACTCTGGCCCTGGGACCCAGAAACACGACTTGCATCTGTGCAGTTTAACATTTTTGTACACCCAAACTTTGACTTCAGCTGTGCTCTGAGAGGGGCTGGGCATCCCCAGCCTGTGCTAACCTCCAGCTGTATTTGAAAGCTGTCTAGGGAAGTGCTAGACTCTGGAGTTTGGACCAAATAGTGTAGGGACAGCTCTGTTGACATGGTCATGCAATATCATATACCAATGTGGGCAGAGCCTGTCTGTCTTTATTTAGCTGAGTTCTTGGATTGATTTCAGTTGTACTGTTAAGGGTAGCATATTTGTATTTAGGATCAAAAATAAAATAAAAGGCATAAGCCAAAAGTTTTTCCATTACTTTTTCTGTGGGAGCAGTTGCAAGACTTCTTGTTCTGGACCTTTGATAGATAGTTTTACAGTTGCCGGTGGAAAATATGTTTATTCTGCAGTTCTTTTTACCTGAGTAGTGATTCACAAGGTCTTCAAGGCACTGAAAGGTTTGCCGTGGAGAGATGTAATACCAGTTATTGGGAAGGCGGAAGATCCTGTAATGTTTCACTTGCCTGTGCCTCACCGACAAGGAATATAACCCTGGAGAAAGAGGAGAACTAATTACACCGAAGTAGGGCCCTAATTCTGGATGGATAGCAGTGACCACAACCAGAGTATCTCTAACATGTGGTGCCAGGATCAAAAAGGTCCAAGATCTGAAAAAAACTGAGCGGCTATCCTAATTTCTACTTATATAGTATACTTTATATATATACTTAAGTATAACAAAGGGAATAAAAGGCCCAACATCAGGGCCTGAGATTTGGTTGAATTTAAACTTCTGGTGTGTTTTTCCTTTATTTTTGCTAGTATGGGATTTTTTTGAAATAGTCTAAAGGAAATAGGCCTTTACAGAAGTTTGCCTTCCTCTAAGAGGGGGACCAGACTTATGTGCTGGTATGTTGATTTAGTCAGCTCCCATTACTGCAGTAACTGATACCTGATAATGCAGTCCTGGCAGGAGATGACAACTTGGATTTTCCTTTTTCTTTGTTTCAAATTATTGTGCAGCATTTAGTTGGTAAGGACTGAATGCTGATCCTAAATTTCTTTGAATTTAGTGTAGGTATTATGAAACTACTTGGCCTGTGGTATGCAAGAGGTCAGAGTAGATGATTTATTATTCCCTTCTAACTGTAGTATCATGATATTAGGATGTGTTCTGGTACTTCACAAAAAGGGACGATATCGTGTTGCACAATGGGAGGTTTATTTCCATTGAAGACAATAAAAGTGTAAACTGTGTGCAGTACAATTCCCATGTAGCAACAGAATTGCTATGAAAGAAAATAAAATTAAAGGCATGTCATTTTTAAAAAGTAAATAAAAGAGCCACCTGTTTATATAGGAAATGCACTTATCAGCCACCCCCGTTGCTTGGTGTGTATTTTATAGCGTCTTCAGGCAATCTTTTGTGGACCAAGGGAAAGCTGTGACTTTTCCTCCATTTGAAAAGTCCCACTGCCTCATAAGCTTTGCGTGCGACCAAGGTAAATAATAATGTTTAAACAACTGTGTCTTGTTTGTGCTGATGCCTGTGGAACTTTCCATGGCCATCGCTAACCCTGTTTCCAGCACCGCTCATAACGTCGGTGACTGGTGAAGACTGGCATGCTGCACTGGGTGCCTCTGCCTTCCCATTACATACATATTCTGGTTTCGGCCTGATCCATATGAAGCTGGACAGGGAGTGAATTAAAGAGCTGTAAAACTGTTAATGCCTGAGATCAAGGGGAAAAAAGTCATATTTTCTCACCTTTCCTAGTTTCACTCTCTCTGATCATGAAGGAGCCAACCTTGGTGTTGGGTAGCTGTAGAAGTTCCTCTGCTTTTTCTCTTCCCAGCCCTTCAAATAACCAGCTGTGAAGCAGGAAAAAACAAATTCTGAAATTTGGACACCAGTGAAACAGAGAGCAGCATGTGGCCGTGAAAGTGCAGCATTAGCCAGGAAAAGTGACTGCAAAAAATAACACTGTGGCTTTCTGTAGTTACTCTCTCAACTATGTCCAGGCATATTTCCCCAGTTTATGGAGAAAATCTTGCTCTCTTTGAGCTCCATTAACTTTTGTGAGACTAAGAGAAGAGTGAATAAGGTTTGGACTTATTAGGGAAAACAAAACTTTTCGAGCTGCCTTGATCTGAATTGTTGGGTACATATCCATGTAGTATATTGATGGAATATCTGTGGCATTAGTTAAATCCCTCTTTTTCTTTTAAACCGCTTTTATTAACCCCAAATTGTATTTTACTGTATCATAAATAAACCCAAAATAAAATACAATTATTCTGCTTATGCTAGGGAACAGTCCAGCCATTTAATTTAATTGGCTTTGTGGATAAAGGAAAGTGAAATTAGTCCTACTGATTTTCACCATAGCTTGGTGCACTGCTGTATTTTGTCACAGCTAGTGTCTCACCATATAACTGAGCTTGCTGGGCTGGTGTAGGAGTTACTGGCACTTTATTTTAAAGTTGTTCTTGTGTGTTTGATCCAGTCTGCTATCAGCAAAATGGTCTTGGGGAAGCTTCAGACGGTAGCTTCCGTTACCATATCTGTGCCCTGTCTTTGGGAAAGCATCTCTGTTTCAGGAGGGTATAAAAGCATATTAAAATTTAAGCATTTGCATAAATTGTGGTGAAGTTCACAGTTCATATGCTTAAAACTAAACAGGTATTAAAACTTGCCAGAAAAGTTTTAAGTGTGTACTTTAGTGGTTTTTTTTTTCTGAGTGGTGTCTAGGGCAACAAGAAACCTCTGAACCTTCCTTAGCTCTTCCAGTGAGAGAGTTTACACTCTTTATTAGTCTTTCTATTGGTTCTTTTTTCTGTTTTTCATAAGAAACTCTAGATTAAATTTTACACTTTATAAATACTAAAACTTCTTTCTAAATAAGTTCTCTTTATCAATGTCTTGAAATTAGACATCAGTCCATGCAACCGAAGTATTTAAAATATCTTATATGACATTTGAGGGTTTTTTGACCCTTTCCTTTTCATAGCATCTAAACTTAGATGTGGATTTCATGTTCTCAGATTTCAAGGGAACTATTTTAGACTGTCAATAAATAAAATTTCTGTCTGTCTAGTCACTATTGGCATAATTTTGATTATGACACTGAATAACTGATGAGGGCAGTGTATGTAGAAACGTAGTGTTGAAAGGCTATAGGAAATGCATTTACTTACCCGTGGTAAACTTTTGCTACGTATTTTCCTGGAATGTAGTTTTCTCGACCTGTTGTAAGGGAATGGACTCTCCACCAGCCTCCTTCACTGTGTGAAAGCAAGAGAAGGGATTTTTTCAGATGTACTTTCAGAGCTTGTCCTCATTTTAGAAATTAGTTAGGATGTACAGATTAACCTGTAGCCTTCTGTCTGTGTTCCTGAATCTCCGCATTCAGAAAGAGACCCAAGTTTGTTTCATTTGGAATAGTTCGATTTCTAAACCTACATCAGGATTAAATTTGGACAGAGAAATAAACTACAATTGTTCCATTTAAATTACCCAAGTAATAAAATATTTTTCTGTAGTTAAAAGAAGAAGGGTGAAGAAGTGGTTAAACCATGCTGTGCTCTGCCTTCCCACAGCTAGGCTGATACTTGTACCCAAGATATTCAGCTTATGAGTGAGTATGCTGTGTCTGGAGAGCCCCGTAGTTTTACTCCTGTAACATCAGGGTAGACATACTCAGCAAATGGGCTGAGTCTGCCTGGGAACAGGTTTTCAGTCTAACAGAACCTGGTTCATGGTCTGCTCTTTTCCTTTTCCTTGTCTTCAATGAGTTGCTGATCAGACTCCAATAAAAAAGACCTCCAGATGAAACTAGGTGACTAGACGTGTTTTTTCACTGATAAATCTTAGGTTCTTGCTGTGATACTGAATGCTGGCTTTGGATTTTGAACCCCTTAGGAAGAGCAGGGTAACAAGAATTTTCACAGGGATGCTGCGGAGCTTTAGTGATTAGTGCAAGGATGCTGATGATTGATGGGTTCTCTCCACCCTTTCCTTTTAGAGTTTGAAACCAAATAATAGAGCATCTTGTGTTTGAGTGCTGGTTTTGTGGACATTCATATAAATGCTCCCAAATAATGCCCAGACAGCAAACTAGAGTCTCAATGTATGTCAAAACAGCTGAGTTGAAAACACTTAGGTTAAACCTCTGGAGTTACAGCTGCAGGGACCATGGTCCAGAATGTATATGCTGAGGGAAAAAGAGACGTGTCTACTGCTCAGAGCTGGAAATTTCAAGACCCCACAAGCTGACATGAAATTATCTATAAGAAGTTTAGATTATTTTGTTTTTTCCCCCACAACTCTCCCAGACAGAACCAAGAATTGCAATTAAAAAAAAACAAACCTGAGAGACTCAGCATCTTCCTCCCTCCAAACTGTAATATTACTGACCCTGAAAAATCCCTCTGATGATTAAAAGTCCCAAAGCAGCACATCTCTTCTGGGGCAGGAGCCACAGAAATTATGTAGATTTGGGGGATCGCTGGAGGACATCTGGTTTGACTACTGCCAGCTAAATGCACTTATTCATCTGGTGATGAAAGGTGCCTGACAACTGTGGAGAGTGAGAAACTGTGCCAGAGGTGCTTATCTAAACCTGCCAACCCAGAGCAGTCACAAATATCTGTGAGGAGTAATATTTTCTATGGAGGTTCCATCTATCGTGTTCCTGGCAGGACTGGTGGGGCTGATTGCCGCTACATGTAATTGCTTTGGTGGAAGGCTGAAAATCTGCCGTTGTAAAAGCAGTACGTGCTGCCTGCTCATGCTGGCTTCTCTGTGGTGACCCCTCATCGCTCGTGGCTCATCGCCTGCCACGCTGCTCTCCTCTTCCACTGCATTTTATTTCTTTGAATGACTTGAGAAAAAGATTATACCTACAGCTTGTGTGCAGGCAAATGGTTCCTATTAACATCAGCGCATTCCCTGATAGGGAAGAACAGGTCCTTCATTAGGACACTGCTTTGCACAGAGCATTGGAGTGTCTTGTCTTCTGTGAACAAGCTGATTTAAAACAGGAAGAGGAAAGTTCCCATCAAGGCTTGCTTTGGCTCTTATTTACTATTAGGAGAAGCTCTTGATCATTGCACAACAGACAAACATGGTAAAAACTGCTGCTACAGAACCCTAGTTCTTTTAGAAGTTGTTGGTCCAGTAGATCATACTATGCAGCACACGTATGCATATGATGTGCCACACATATAATTCCCATTGATACAGGCATAACTAGTTATGTGGTGGTGTTTCATCAGCTCTTAGCTGGTGAATGCTGGGAGTGAGGCTTTAAACTGGAATTTCCAAGCTAAAGCAAGTGTTGTACCATGTTGCATATGTTATGCAAACTGCAGCAAGGTTTAAACAGCTAGAAGTTACCAGAGAAGAATTCCCCTGGTTTAGGGAAGCTCTCCATCAGCAGAAAATTCATCTAGTGGTATTATCTGAGCCTTGTGACCTCTAGGTTCGTGGAGGTGAGGAAAGCACTTTGTTAGCAGAACATAACTGCAGCTGTTCTGGGCCAGACCAAAAGGTCCACGTAGCCCCGGATCTTCTTGCTGACAAAGGCCATTGTAGGTCACGGTGGCCTGGAGAAGAGTCCGAGAATTCATCAATCATCTGTGTTACTTCTCTTGAGTACTTCTGTCCTCCAACCATTTGAAGCTCTGACTTCCTCAGGTAGAGAATTTTTTTTTTTTACAAATTTAGAAATCATCAGAGGATTTCTCTGCTATAAAGGTGACTGGTCTCCCCTTGAATCCATCTGCTCCATCAGCTGCAAAAATGAAGTCTTTCATTTCTGTTTAAGCAGTGAAAACACTGGCTGTGGGGCTGAAGAACTTCTAGGAGGTCACTGCGTGCCGATAAAAGTTGTGCATAAAAGAATATCAGAGCTGCTGGCTTCCATTTTTGAAGACGTGTGCTCACTCTTGTGTGTAGCAATATTTGCACTATGCTTAAGGTCAGTCTGAACTAGTGCTCTTAAGCCTACTTCTTTCCAGGGCTGATAAATTTTTGAGTGAAACTGGCTGGGAAAGCTGTGACTTTTTTTTTTTTAAATCCCCACTAAGAAAATGCAGAATCGATTAAAAAAATTAAGTAGAAAAAGAAAAGCTATTTCTTATCTTATTTTTGTTAGACTTGCCTTAAATCTAGGGTGAAATTCTAAGACGTAATCAAAAAGGAGTTGTTAGATAAAAAGGGTGAGAGAGAAAATGAGAGATGCACTCGACATCATAGAGAAATTCAGAATAATTTTCCTTTTCTATGGAATTCAAACTATTTTTGCTCTTACTCTGTTTTCCACTAACATGAGGGGGATATTTTCTCAAAATCATTTTTCAAAATGGAATTCTGTTTTGAGTTCTCCTTTAGAATAGAGTCTGAATCGAGCTTCAGAAACCATGCCAGAAGAATCCAGGGATCAAAGAACAATCTCAAATCCCAGATCCTTAAACTATAGGGAAATAGTACACCATGGCTAAGCATCCTTCCGTGCAAATTCTGAACTCAGTTCATTTTGCCGAACTGCATCCAGTTTGGGCCAGGTGTATAAAACAGACCTTTGCACCAATTGTAGCAAAACTTGATTTAAAAAAAAAAAAATTAAAAAAAAATGGATCAACTTACTCTGATAGCACACGCAGTTTTTCCCCTACGTGAAATATAGGTTGGCTTATGTCTGCTGAAGGATAGTCATAGAGGACAGCAAGGAAATCACTCTCCTGACCTGTTAAAGAAGAAGGAAAATGTCACTTAAAACCAAGACAGAGTTCTGAAGCAGAAATGGATTTTTCATTATGTATGTTATATTTTACATAGTATGTCAAATGGGAAAATATCTCACTCTGAAATGTCACTTGGTAAACATAAAGAGCTAAAGATGAGCCTATAACTTTATAAGAAGGATGTGAAGATACTAGAAATGAAAAAAAAAAAAAAAGTAATTTGGTTAATTGTAAGCAACTAAATTTAGACCACTTTTTCTAGTAATTACCATATTTATTTAAATGACATACTCAGTTTGAAACTAGCAAAATTAGTAAGTATTTATAGTATTAGGAAGTAAACCAGTTTGATTAATGCCACTGTCTCTAAATGCCTCCAGCTACAATTTTGAGACAAGCTGATGCATTACATTTAAGGAAAGGAAGATGCATGTTGAATTGTTCCATCATTCAACACCACTGATACTTTTCAAAGGTATGAAATTAGTTTAGATCAAGGGCAGTGAGAGTGCAGCTATTATTGCCCATTTTCCATCGCTTTTTAAAATTAGCTTGATGAACTTTTTCTCCCCTCTTGTGTGGAAACGGTACTAGAGGTAGCGCCTGATGCCCTTATCCTCAGTCAATGAAGAGACGCAACATGGGTATTTATAATTAAATCATTGTACAACTGCAATTTGCAGAGCTGAGGTCAGTGAAGAGAAAAGACCTTTTACATCAGTTGGGATGACTCTGGGGCTTGCGGCACTGTGTAGGACACGTGCTGAGTGTCCTGGGTTTCTCAAGGATGGAGGAGGCACTTCGCACAAGACTGGGACTATCAAACATTCAAGAACTCCTCACCCAACAGTAATCTGTGGTGCCCAGTAAAAAAGGTGAGAGATTCAGAAATGGGTCATGCTGGGTGTTTTGAGCTCTTTGGTAGAAGTCCTGGCAAGAGGGATCATGCTTCTCCTTGAAGTGGGTCCCTTCCCTCTGCACGTCGCAGTACCGTCCACCGGCACACGGAGAGACAAAGCTTTTCCCCTGCCTCCAGCAGGATCAGCACCCCGTTCTTTAGTAATACCATCTAGCAGTACCTCTGCAGAAGTGGTTTGCTCTCCATACTTTCCCTCTCTGTGCAGCTCAACATGTACAAAAATGGGAATGAATTCAGGGGAAGAGAGAAAGAAATTACCCAGAGAGATAGACCCACTTCTGTATCTTGTTAGATTTTCTCATTTAATATAGATTCCTTGTCAACTTGTCTTTAAGGAAGACAATTATTTTTAGGGAAACCTAGAAACAGCATCCTATGTTTTGAGCCTCTGTGTCCCCAGGCCTTACAAATAACTCACAGTGAGAATGATGAAAAGCTGAAGGAAACAGGCAAGTCTGCAGAAAAGAAATATTTTCAAGAAGAGAGATTTTACACTTGTTATATGTAAGTGTTAAGGAAAATATTCCACATCTGTGGTTTAAAGGAAATAAAAAGCAGTGTTTTCTCAGTTGATTTTGAGCAGCTGCTTGTGGTTATGTTATATGGACTTGTGTTATGCAAAGTAGTGTGTCATTTTACCTTAATATTCAAATTGACTGTAAACTTTTTTAGCCTTGCTAGCCTTTGCCCATTGAAGTAGCCCCATGGTACAGTTAGTGAGCATCGCTATGGATGCATAGGTGTGTAGAGTCTGGAATAGACATTGATAGTTTGGCAGTGTGTTTAGTATTAGTATTGCCATGGTTTTCTTAGTTGATTAGTGTCACTGAATTAAACAGGGACTAGTCCATCAGCCAACTGCTGTGATTAGTCTACTGTAACTTATTATACAATTAGTTTAACTATACTGAAGAAATTCTGTGCTAAGCATGCCTGTGATTGCTTCCTTGTTCTGCACGAAAAATTAAGAGACACTTTCTTTGTCTCTGAAACCGCTTAGTACCTGAGGCTAACCAGAACTGAGTATTGGTGCTGAGTGTCTTTCAACAAAGCAATATCTTTACCCAGGACTACAAGAAATACATGCCAGAGGGTACGTTGTAAGAACTGCAGGATGAGGATAAAGTGTCGTCGGCTAATTTCTCATTGCAGATTGTTAGACAGCAGTTCTACAGGGAATGTCATTTTTTCTTAGCTTAATGACAATGCCTTTAGCAATGCTTTTTTTAAACTTCTGCTGTTTATTTATAAATGTTTCCATACTGAAAGGGTGGAAACCAAGTGCTTTTCTGCTCTCCTTCCTTGGGTACTGGTGGTTTGCATTTCGTTATGCACTGTGGGTTACATGACTTTTTCTCTGCTCTAGCAAGGTCTGTGTTACTTTGCTTACACTTTCATCTTTATATTCATTTTTGTTTCAATTTTGCACGTTAATTTGTAGTTCTGAAAAGGAAGGAATTAATCATAATGCTGGCTGCCACATCCATGCAAACGTTTCCTCTTGAACTGCATGTACTTACAGTGAAAGTAAAGGGGTTTTGTACTACCCAAACCCTTTCAACCTTCCTACTCTACAAACAAGACCTCGTTTTAATTGGTATTTAAATCAAACCTCACTGGGTTTTTTGGTCATGTAAAATACCCCACCACACTGTACAACATTTCACAGAACCCCATACTAGCTCCTTTCAAACACAAAAGCCTCAAAACAGGGACTAAACAAATTACACTGTTTCTTCACACCTGAATTTCACAGTGATCTAATGCATTTGATCTAATGAGCTCCCCACACTTTTAAGTTGTAAAAGAAAAAAAAGATTTGCCTGAGTTTCTTTCTAACGCAATGTCTCCTCCGCAGTGCAAGTGTAGGTTAAATGGAACAACTCAAATGTTGGAGTGGAAAGATCGAAGCACAGTCATTTCCACTGAATCAGGTGTTAATTCTTTTCTTTTCTTTTCTTTTCTTTTCTTTTCTTTTCTTTTCTTTTCTTTTCTTTTCTTTTCTTTTCTTTTCTTTTCTTTTCTTTTCTTTTCTTTTCAGAGTAGGAAATGAAATACATGCTAGTTTTAGATGTCTGCATCCCTGGATGTCTGGCAAAGTGTGAGACTGAATATTGCATGCTTCAAATTATTCATTGTGAATGGACTACAAAGTGCTATTAGAGAGAAGGGAGAGCGTAGGCAGAACCTCCAGATCCAGCTCATCACCCTCAGAAAACGCTGTGCTGTGCACCAGTGTGGTCCCTGTCTGGAGCAGGGATGTGCTACTCA